ATATAGCATATCAAGCTAGATTCATAAGGCCTATACAAGATAGCTGAATCTTAATAAGCTTTATGCTATTATATCATCATTATCTAATCGGATAATCAGGCATGAACAGACGTATCATAGTATACGATCTACATTATCACTACGGTCAATAACACGATCTACATCATCACTACAGTCAATAACATCGTACAATCAAGCAACCACCGATCAATCAGCTACTGCATGAGATCACTATGCATCTAGATCTATCTACATAAGATCATCATGCATCATCTAGAACGATCACATGCAAGAGACAAGTTGATTATAAATATGCCCTGCTTTCTCTACCAAGATAATAATTATGTTCAATATATACAAGCAAGATTCAATACAATCAACCAAGCTTCAGTCCTACTTTACTTTTCTCTCATCTTATGATTCTAAGCCGAATTGATTTTATCCTTCCTATTCAATTAAAGGAAGAAGATCAATTAATCTTACTTCCTCTCTACCTAACCTACGCAGCATCGCTTGCTCACAGACCTTCTTGTTACTAGGGTAAAACCCTGTTCTTTTACTGATTTATGGAGGGCTTCCTTTGCAAGGTCAGGGGTTTCATAGAATTATAGTGGGCTTAGTAGTAGTATAGGTGGTATATTAGACTCTAGAAAATCCATAGTTAGTAGGGTGGGGGTAGTAGGTTTTAGGCCTAGTAGATAGATTGAATTAGATTAGTGTGTGGGTTATATGATTATAGTAGGGCTAGTAGGAGAAGATAGAAGAGAAGGAGGAAAGGATATATGTGTGTATAAGAAGAAAGAGGGTGGTTGAATTAGTAATTGTAAGGCGTGAAAGGCTTAGCAGAATTCAGGCAGAAATCAGGCAAAATGTCGTGCCACCAGAATTTTGGTGTCGTGCCAGCAGTCGCCCCCTATAAGATTACTATGTATCTAGATCTGTCTGCATAAGATCATCATGCATCATCTAGAACGATCACATACAAGAGACAAGTTGATTATAAATATGCCCTGCTTTCTCTACCAAGATAATAATCATGTTTTAAGACACACAAGCAAGATTCAATACAATCAACCAAGCTTCAGTCCTACCTTACTTTTTTATTTCATCTTTATGATTCTAAGCCGAATTGAACTTATCCTTCCTATTCAATTAAAGGAAGAAGATCAATTAATCTTACTTCCTCTCTACCTAACCTGCGTAGCATCGCTTGCTCACAAAGAGCTAAGTAAGAGAAAGATAAGAGATAACTAATTTACTTAGGTATAATATACTAATAATTAATTTTGTCGGACAAACCTCAACTAGAAAAACCTTCTATTTAGCCTATTACTTTGTTAGTAATAAGCAGGAGCCGTTATATCTTTAGCTATTTCAAACCCTTTAAACATAGCTTATATAAGCAAAGATTTAAGCCCTACGTATTATCTTCTCCGACGACGTAGAGGCTCTTTTGAATATATACGGAGAGGTCTTTAAGGATTCGATAGGCCTAATTTATCTCTAGTATATTATAAAGAATATTAAAACACGCGTTCGGCTAATAATTGTAAAGCAATTACTCTTATAAGATCTTCCTAATTCGGAAGTTCTAAAGAAGACTATCGACGAATAGCGATCTACGAAGGCTAAATTTATATAAATTGTTCTCGAATCTACTAAGGATAGGATAGAAGCAAGAAAGGCCTCTTTTCTAGAATCCCTAAGCGATCTAATCTACTAATCAGTAATCGATTATATCGAAAAGTAGTAGTTTAGCGAAAGGGCAAAGTAATTTATACGGTGTTATCTTAACGGAATTCTCTATTATAATAAGCTTACTTCCTCTCGCGTAGAAGGTACCTATATAAAGCTAAAGCGAGAAATTTATACCTTAACCAGCGATATTCTTGCGACTATACAAGTTGTTTCTCGAGTCGTTTCCTATACAAACTCGCAGGCTTTTAACTTAATATAAGACGAAATCTACTATTATCCTGTCTCGCTTTAAGTCCTATTTTTACGCGATCTCCTTAGTCGGATCTCGCACAGCGTAATTCGAAGGGTATATAATACCTAGCAGGAATTCATCCGAGCAGATAAGCCACTACCTCCTTATACCTAATACTATAGGAAATCTCTTGGTCTTCTATATAATTATGTGATCAAAGACCTTATAGATAGTAGTAAGTTCCTTCTTCCTTCTAATTTCGATTAATAATACTAGCTTCGCCTACTAAATCGGGTAATTCAGACCGATCGGCTAATTAGAAGGATAGGTAGGATAGGAGGAAGGCTTCAAATTAATAAACCAAATCGGGTAAAGGGGGTTAGACGGCCGAAGTTGCTAGAGACTATTAAGCGTTGGCGAAGATAGGGGACATAGAATACTACCGGTCGGAAGTTTAGGACAAAGCGAAGCCGAGGTACCTACGTTTCTATAGATAAAACCATAGGAATCGTAGTACTACTACCATTAGAGAGGACCGACAGATCGACTAAGCGAATACCATCAAAATAGGAGACGAAACTTCGTTAAGGGCGTAGGGCCGGCCGAGGTCGTAGGGCTAAGAGGGTGGTAATAGCGGAGAAGGAATTGAATAGAAGGGCGAGGATGATTAGTAAGTATCGATTTAGTGGCTAGAGGCAGGTAACTTAGTAGATAGAAGGAACTAAATTGAATTAGATTAGTGTGTGGGTTATATGATTCTAATAGGGTAGGTAAGAAGTAGTAGAAGATAGAAGAGAAGATAGAAGAGAAGAAGGAAGGGATACGTGTATATAAGAAGGAAGAGGGTAGTTGAATTTCGTAATTAATCGGCGTGACGGGCTTAGCAGAAATCAGGCAGAAATCAGGCCCCAGGTGGTGCGAGCAGAATTCCCAGGTGGTGCCAACAGTCGCCCCCTTAATAAATTGCTTATGAATATATTGTAATATTAGCCCTAGAAATATCCTCGCTAACTTTCTAAATAATCTTATCCCTCTACATTCGCTGTATTATAGGCACCCGAGCTAGTGTAGCTTCTTGTCGAGATATAGAGCTGTAACTTACCGCTAAGACTAGGGTTATACTAAGTGACCTACCTCTCCTTGTATTTTGTATAGTAATTTAGTATCCTTAGCATTACGGTTATCTGTGAGCAAGCGATGCTGCGCAGGTTGGGTAAAGAGGAAGATAAATTAAAGATGATTAAATAAGATCGATTGATCTTTCTTCCTCTTGATTGAATAGGAAGGATAAGTTCAATTCGGCTTAGAATCATAAAGATGAGAGAAAAGTAAAGTAGGACTGAAGCTTGGTTGATTGTATTGAATCTTGCTTGTATGTCTTGAACATGATTTTTGTAGAGAAAACAGGGCTTATTTATAATCAATCTTTATCAAACCTCTTTTGCATGTGATCGTTCTAGATCCTAGATCTAGATGCATGATGATCTCATGCAGACAGATAGTGATCTCATGCAGTAGCTGTTTGATCGGTGGTTGCTTGATTGTACGATGTCATTGATCGTAGTGATGATGTAGATCGTATACAATAGTATACGTCTTCTACGATATCATTGACCGTAGTGATGATGGTATAGCGATGTCATTGACCGTAGTGATGATGGTATAGCATAAAGCTTATAGAGATTCAGCCATCTTGTATAGGCCTTATGAATCTGGCTTGATATGCTGCATGGCGGTCTGGCTTGATAACATCCTGCCCTATATCTCACATTATCGTAACACCGTGTACCTAAGATATCTATAGGGTATTTCAACCTGCCCTATAATATTTGTTCTTTTAATCGATCAACCTTTATATCTAAGATTAGTTCCGCTTGGTCCTATCCTCGATCTTATTCGCCTATTAGGATTACTAGCTATTACTATCTCAGCTTGCTCCGATACTTCTTTATTAGTAGACTAGTTTTATAGAGTACGATAGCAATTATGCTAGAATTCGAATTAGTGTATCAAGATCTATTATACTAGCTTTTAAGCTCTTATCGGAGTAGCTAAATTAAAAATCGTAGGGCATTTCTCTATACTTCAAAATATATTACCGGATATTTTTATATATATTTTTATTATATACCTGCACCGCTATAATATCGAGATTAATTTTTGCCTAAGGGTTTTGTTAGTGATACGGTACGGTATAGCTTTTGTATTAGCGTAATAACTACAAAATCACGCCGTACTAGTAAGTCGGTAATAATACTTAATTCTACTCTATTACTTTATTCTAAACTAGCTACTTAGGTCCTCGAAATATCTTATGCCGAATTAATCACCCTAATTGTTCGTTTTGCCCCGCTCTACCTTTAACTATCCTTTTTCTTCTCCCCTTTTATTAGTTAACTATACACTAGTATATGATATAATATATCCTACTATTTTAGCGTTTATAGTTACTATAGTCACTAGGAAGCACGGGTAACTAAGAATTATAGGTAATTAAGAAATATAGTTAACTAAGAATTATAGTAAATTAGAATTATAGTGAATTAGAATTATAGTGAATTAGAATTATAGTGAATTGGAATTATGGTGAATTAGAATTATAGTGAATTAGAATTATAGTGAATTAGAATCATAGTGAATTAGAATTATAGTGAATTAGAATTATAGTGAATTAGAATCATAGTGAATTAGAATTATAGTGAATTAGAATTATAGTAAATTGGAAAGTAGAGCTAAATCGAGTATTACGATTAATTCGGATATTATTTACTTAGGAGAATAGCGGTAGTAGCTAAGAAAAAGTCCTAAGTCTATATAGTTACTATAGTTTTAACCTTCATGATTAATTCATTCTGATTCTGCCTTTTATTCGCTCGTAGATGAAATAATTTTTTTTTTATTATAATATTAACGGGAATTTACTTTATAGATATACTTACTAGCTAAATGTTTCTTTCCGCAAAATCGTCAAACTATCAATCACGGTACAAAAGAACAAGGTTAGATATTATATTCTTTATAGCATTTTTCTCTTTCCTAAAACTAACTAGCTTCCTTATACAGTACAAGAATGAATTCCGAGAAAGGAAAGCTACGGCACCAAAACCGTAAAGTCAAGGCGATATTCGGCACTCGCGACCTTCTGTTTTCTTTCAACGGCACTATAAAAGAGCAGGTGCCTCCCTTCAAAGTGTTAATAGCCTTACTTTCTTTCAATAATACTATGGAATTGATGGGTAGACAATCTTTTATCGGCGCGGTTAGTCCTAACGAAGTTCTGATCTTAGTTAATAATAGAGTCACTATCTCGGGGGCACTTTCCCAACCTATAGGTAGTGTGGCTCAAATTTCTGGCAAGCTTTCGTGGCTCCAAGTATAGAGCCTTCATACTTGAATTGACCTGATTCAAGAAATTGATATCGGCATAACGAAAGGGAGTTAGAAAGGAAATACTGGTTTGGTTTTCCAGTGAAATCTGCATAATTTAGATGAGACAATCAGTCTATACAGTCCGTTTGCATCATTGAAATTGATTGCATATGTGTAGATTGGCTTTCGGAAATTAATGTTTCTTTAAAAAGAAATTTTAGTCAAGTTACAGTAGTTTTCAACATCAGTTATACCTCTACACTCTTGCGACTTCATTCCCGGAAAATAAATCCGAAATACTCTAACCCACTTTAGCTTACACTCCATATAAGTTTGGCAAAACAGTCTTAGTAAAGGCCTTACATCGACATGTGAGTCATCGTAATAAGACCGTAATATTTCATAGAACAACGTACGCAGCCGTGTGCCGTAAGGGCGGCCTAACAATAGGAGCGGAAATGGGCCATGAGAGGCTGTGACGTGGCTCAACGATTCTGTCAGGAAGTGGAACATTCTATGTGTATATACTCGAATGTACTGTAATTGTCGTACACTGCATGTCGCTTCGGCACGGATTATAAACCACAGCCTACTAGACTGCGTACGGATTCGTTTCTCGGTCTAGTTGGGTAGAAAGCCTCGGCGAGGGGTAAGTGTAAGTGAATACTACAGTACTACTACTACAGTACTACTACTACTACTACTACTACTACTACTACTACTACTACTACTACTACTACTACTACTACTACTACTACTACTACTACTACTACTACTACTACTACTACTACTACTACTACTACTACTACTACTACTACTACTACTACTACTACTACTACTACTACTACTACTACTACTACTATTACTACTTCTACTACTTAGGAGGAAGGCCACCAACGAGAACACCAGCCAGACTGAGCCGCTCGGCGAGACCTCGTAAAATGTTTCTTTGTCGGCTCCTAGGAGCCAGAGCCAGTTGCTTTGGTTTTATCAAGGACGTCCGAATTTGGATAGGAATAATTGTACTGTTCCTGGGAACACACTGACTCCAATCTCTTCTACGCGTTTCTCCTGGCCGCCCATCATTCACACCACCGGAATTTACAGTGCCAGTGAGAAATAAAGTCAAGGAAACAATTAATGCAAGGTAACGTCTGTATAATCTGCAGACAATGTCCGGTTGGCCCTATTGAGCGTTGGCACGGGCTCCTGGGAGCGAGCCAAATTTGCACCCCATCGTTCAATTATTGCGGATTGCATTGGGCCTTTTTACTTTTTTTTCTCTTATCCTTTCTCTTATCCCATGATAGTGCGAAAATAGTGACGCACCGAGTGCCTGGCCACTCACATGTCGCCAAAACATTAGAAGTTGCCCCCGGCCTATCCTTGTCATAGCGTAGGTTTGGGAAAGAACCAGAGAGTATAAGGTGACTTTGGGACTGAGTGAACTATAAAGATATCCACGTCCTGTCTCCCTCATGCACCGAATTTCAATTTTTGCTTTCTGAAGAACCAAGCGTAATCATCCTCGGTCACAAGTTCAACTTAACACCTGTCACATTAGAATGTCTTCCAACCCGGCTATGTTTCCAATGTCGTTAAATGGCCCTGGCCTGCTAGGTTCCTTCTTCGGTGAATCAAACCATGCCGAGACCGTGATGAAGGAAACTTGTGCCATATTGGCCGTTGAGCCCATAATGCAGGCACGAGCTACCATATACACACCGCTGCCCGTCTCCGTCTTCCTTTGGCATCATTTCTTAACCACCAGCGCCGCTTACCAAGCTACAGAAGTATGATACTCCCTGCTATTCAAAATGTTTCTTTGATCTTTCTTTGGTTGACGTGACATATATAGGAGTCTTTTGGATCATCGTATCGCAGACTCTCGGATAGCAAGATCGTCAGGGTAGAGTTGGCCAAATCGGCCAAAATTTCAGTATTGTAGCGGGTCCTCGTGGGTTAGTTATTCTGTCGGTAGACTACCCTATCGCTGTCCTTATATTTTCCGGTGCGGCTCAACAGAGAATTCCTTGCCTACTGTGCGTGCTTATTTAACCCAAAATGCAGGAGCATCACAATACTTCATTTCTTCGTATATGATCCTAAGCTTGGCTACCCTAAGCTTCGTTCATGCTCAAATTATTCGAGCCTGTGTTATTTGCATGAAGCCATGGCGTATGCAAACAAGTACGTTCAAATTGTTTTGGCGGGGTCCGGATCTCACAACAGAAAGGCACCAGCGAGCTTTGTGGGCAGCGTCTATTGGCTCAATAGGATTGTTACAGTACGTTGCAAAACCGGTGCAACCGCATCCACTCTTCGAGTGTTTTGCTAGGCCCAACGCCAAGAGACACCAGGACAAATTAGGAATAGCACCGGAATATCAATATCCCTATACCAGTCTCGATACTACCATTTACTTTCATTAAAATACGGTGCCTTGTCTCGTAACTGTATTAGCAACTCAAAGGAACTAAGAATAGGTAGAAGATGGTCGATTAGTGGAGGTCCGACAAAGACTACGTGAGAAGCCCGAGTCCCGAAGACAGTAGTGCCGAGAACTATATATATACCATTCCGGTGGCCATCACTAATGACAATGTGAGCAGCCGTCGCGGAGATGCCCAGGCTACAGCACCGCCAGTTGCCTTCACAAAGCTCACTAGCGACTGATTGCTCGCTCCGACTTGGAGAACCTGCGACGAGTTGGCCGAGTCGTAAGTGCCTATAAAGGCGATGCTAAAAGTCACGTTCACCTGTTCGTCACGGGATCCGTATAGGTCGCCGAAGCCAGCGATCGTCGTCCCCGAGATGGATAGTGTGAGCGTGTTGTTGGTCATTGTCCCGTTGATCATAGTCCCTGATGGCCATCCGATCAGTATATCGCCCATCATACTACAGGTTTCCGCAGGGATATAGATCTGATCGTTATGCGTGCCGTCACTCGCGAAGATTGTCTGGGCCGACCTCAGACTCGACACGTCGTACACCCCTTCGAATTGGACCTTATAGTTGTTATTGCCGGCCTGAGTGACATTAAGGACAACGGCATCTATAGCCCCTTCGACATTCCTATTCGTCTCGTGGACGTACTCACGCCAGTCGACAGTTGTCTTGAGCTGCACGAGATTCACATCTGTATCGCAGGAGCTGTAGGAATAGGTAATGTTGGCGATAGAATTGTCAGACTGCCAGGCCTGGAAGCCTAGTGTAAAGGGATTGTGAAGGTCTGATGGAGTAGGCGTCCTCGGCCCGACCCATGCGATGCCCAACATACGAATTGAGCGACGGTCCTTAGGACAGTTGGTTCCAAGGTAGGTGTTGTTGGTGGGTAGATCGCGAATCACGTAGTCAAAGGAAGCTTCTCCTTGAAAGTACAGTCCGTTCCAGTCTGTGTAGGCTCCAGGGTCGCCAGCAACAATTGTGTAATTGCTGTAATAAAATGGCTGGAGGCCGGTGGTTGTAAGTTTGTGGTCATCAGAGCAGACATAAGTGCCGCCGCTAGATAAGGAGGAGTCGTCGTCGCTGCTAGTCCCGCTGTCGCTGCTAGAGTCGCTGCTGCCTCTGCGGGATAGAACCCTAGCAGGAATCGACAAAAATGCAAAAAATAGGACTATAGGCTGGCAGAGCAACATAGTGCCCGTCTTTTTCTATCGGTCCTACTGCATGAAATCTATGTCGTCGTAGGCTGATCGACTCACTTGTCCAGCTAATCTCTGAGCAGTGAAAGCAGAGAAACACTCGAGGGTCATTGTAGTTTTAAAGCACAGGCACTACTTGATCCTTGACCTGTCCGTGACTCGCGAAATAGGGCATTTTCGGGGGTGGAGGGGCCTAAAGGGGAAAGGCGCCAAGAAACTAGACGGGATGGACCTCGTATTCGTCGCCATCGCCAGTCGCGACAAAGGAGAGCCACAATCTATCCCACTTCTGGACTATCCTTCCAGCACCGCGGTTTTTCCAATTGTTTCTATTATCTCGCTTCCTAGCCTGCCAAGATAACCAAAGCATCCACCTATTACCGCGCTTCAAAATTACCCAATAACCTATGCTTGTGTCCTCCAACGATCTATCGCATCTACGCCAGGATCAATCTCTTCGACGCAAGAACCTATCAATCCCGCTAAGTCCAAACTCACATTTAAAGATCTGCACCGCCGTTTTCACAATAAGCCGTCATCGTTCCAGCTCGAGGATAGGCTAGAGCAACATGCGAGTAAACGAATTCGAGAGATATCCTGACTAGCTTATAGAACGTGTAGGTCAACCGCGTGAACTCGGGCCTGATCCGGTCTGTAGATTATACAGCTATGCCACCTCTGATAGCCTACCCACAAATCCTATCGCCTAAGCATCTCGGTCCCGGTTGTGGTCCTCGACAGTGTGATCGGTCGGCTATACAGGGTTATTTGTTGCTTACTGGCAATCCTTTACCGAGCTCGGGCTTAGGGTCATCGGAGACGTGACTGGACGCTGATATACCGTCAGATGTTTGTCCGGAAAGGAGGTATCCTAGGCTCTTTACTCCATCAAGAACGTTCTTAACTGTTATGACCAACGGAATCGAGATGGGGAAACAGGTTCCGTAGAAAATCCTCGTACATATGTATTTAAGACTTGAGATCAGCCGATTGCGTACAAAACATCAGCAAGTCATGCACTAAGCGATTCTCGAGGCTATACAACTGAACTTAGCATCGCCCTCTCGTTTTTTGTCTGAGTAGACACACATAAGGTCACTTTGACGGCACCGTTAACACGAGGGATGCTGGCCTGTACTTTTTGCCTTATGTTCACGGCAAGGGTCACATGCCCGACTGACTCTCTTTTTGGACGTCAAAATTCCGGGATTTGACCTCCGTGGAGTAGCAACTTTATCGATCTTCAGGTGCGGAGCATAGCCTTCCGTAGCTGGCTGAGACGGGCCTCCAAACAACACGGTATCCTCATTTGATACGAGGGTTTGTGGACTCCTGCCAGGCCGTGGGTGTGCCCTAGAAATAGGGGGGTTGTCTGCTTGCGCGAGGACTCGTGTGGCTCCTATAGGTAGGCGGTGTAGCAAAGCGGTAAGGACAGGAAGTACTGTGTAGAATTCTCCATGGCAACACGAACAAGTCAAACAAAACACTAGAGCTGGAGCGTGCTTCGAGAATCTGGCGAGCTCTCACTTCCGTCTGTCATCCCCATGTCCAAGTGTGTGTCAAGGTTGCCAGCCTCCCCCTCCTCCCTGACTATATCCATTACTTCGTAGCCTTCGTTTACGTCGTATATCTAATATTGCGCTAATGCAGCTACAGTGGCGCCGCAAAAGTCTCCGACCACCCCTTACCGACCGCCTACTTTCTGCCATAAATTCTGCCGCACTAAAACCTCTAAATAATCATAATCAAATTGATCCAATAACTAATATTTAGTATACCAGCCATTTGATGCAATAATAGCCTGCACTCTACGCGGCATACTCTCTGATAGACTCTCTAATATACTAAGATCGATCTGCTGCCATGCCTCCTTCGCTGTATCGATCAAAATAGCTAGAGTAGTATCATTATTTAGCATAGATAGTAGATCAGGCCGAATTTCATAGATCTTTTGCTTTAGTAGGGTCCACAGATTCTCAATTGGATTAAGATCCAGTGAGCAAGGCGGCCAAATCATAATCTCACGGCCTAGATTTGCTACAAATTCGCGTACGATCTGTGCAGTGTACGTTGAAGCGTTATCTTGTTGAAAGATTGAAGTCGGATCAACTAGTAGAGTTGGTAGGATTCGTTGATATAAATCAAGAATAACGAAGCGATTTATACCTTGGCGAGGTGATTCTGGATCTCTATAAAGAGCTACTAAGCCACTTCGACGAAGCGACCTAGAGAATACAGCCTAGAACATCAGTTTAACTTAGAATCCGCGATGTAGTACTAGTTGAACTTCGCCTTGAACTGCTTGGTCGGATAGGCGAATAAAGCTATACGCTAGACGAAGTCCAATACCTCGCTCAACTATACACTCGTCAGACTAGAAGACTCGGTCAAAATCATCTTTAGTGTAGTGTTGATACCGTGAAGCCCAAGATAATCGTGTAGCAGCGTGCTCGGGTTTAAGATATAGGCGTTTCATAACTCGCTATTTCCGGAGACCCTTAACAGAGAGTAATCGCGCGATAGAATCTTTCTTGTACTTATGATTCACTTCGGAGAGTAAATCATCGTACGAGACTCGAGGGTCTTCGTGAATCTTTTGGAGGATCTTTTAGCGGTCATCGTCGTTTAAGTTCTTAGGGCGCCCGGATCGCTTTAGTGACTGTTCCTTATCGCGAATTCGCGACTAAAGGCAGGTATATTTGATAGTCGAGAGTGGGATATAAGGGTATTTCTTATGAATTTGCCCATACGACCACTTTGCTACATCTTTTAATATAACGATTTGGGTACGAAGATTCGCGTCTAATTCGCAATTCTTGCGTCTTGGCTATGCGATAGCAGGAGATGTAGGTTGCCTAGGAGCAGTAGGAACTGGTCCTCTAGGCGTTGGAGGACTAGGCAATGGTAAACCAGCCCTTGTGCGAGGCATATTAGTATAGTGAATAAGGAGAATATTATAAACAACGCGATGCGCGACTACGCTATTCGCGTTCATGGGGTTTCCTAGGCTATATTAGGTAGGCGGTGTTGGCAAGCGGTCAGGGGGTGGTCGGAGACTTTTGCGGCGCCACTGTAGATAACAACCCAATATTTTTATCCATGGTTCTCATAACCTAGAATAACTAGTTAGCCGCGTCCGCCTTTTTGTCAGCCGCACACTCAAAAGCCCGAAGTCGTGGGGCTTCCCCAAAGCGGTTAGAACGATGTCATCATGTCTGAGGGACCCTTACAACGGATTCATTCGGAAGCGGCAAAATGGGTCTTTCGTCAGTTAGAATGCTTAATGTCATAACCACTCCTTGACCGGCCGTTCGCCCCGCACGGAACTTCTTCTAGGCCTCACTCAACTAAACTTAACTCGGGCACTAATAAATAATTTAGAGATCCTGGGATATGAATCGATCCTAATGCATAACGAAGCGTTGTCTCCTTTCTATATCGCTAGCCCCTCGCTAGCCGGCAATACCTAGCAGGAACAGATTCACTATATTATACATAGCTACCGTCGCGAAATGTAGTGAGTGCTCTGTCACTAATATACGTAAGAATATGTGGATCTTGGGTAGGCAAAATCTCTCCTAGGCACTTCATCGCTACTCAATCAACAGTACAGAGTAGCCATATCCGATTAGATCGGTGCAGTTGTGCTAACTAACTTCTATAGGTTAACAGGTGACTTACTTGATTAACTAGTCTAGATTTAGTTAGGTCGATGTCAGCAATATTGCTATCCGCTAAAATAGCAAATCATAATACCCGAGACACAAGATAAACCTTGCGCATATCAGCTATTTTTTTGTGTTCTTCGCAACACGCAGGATTAATTGAGACAGCACTGCTTATACGACGGATAGAATAACCCTTGTTTAGACAGCGATAGTGATAATAGTAGGCTTAACCATATCACTTCTTAACAAATAGTAGCCATAGAACTAATCGTAAATCCAATCAAGCATACTTTGGCCACGAGCCAGCAGAGCAGACGAACGTCTTCCTCTCGAAACCGTGGAACTGCGGAACTAAAACGTCAAGCTTTTCAACGGAGATAGTGGGAATGGAATTTAGGTAACTTAATTCCGAACTGAAATAGAAAGGAATAAAAAACTATATAAACCTCTTCAATGCTAATAGTTTCCCAATCACTATACTACGTCTTCAAAAAGCCCATCAGTCACAATAGCAACCAAGTACACCGCAGTCCATGAGTCTCCCAACAGCCCTAGAGACAGCCGTCCTACGGCCATTCAAATCATCCGAGACGAACAGCTGGAAGGAAAGCTCACCGACAAAGTCATTCTAATTACGGGCTGCTCCTCCGGCCTAGGAATCGAGACCGCGCGCGCGTTGGCAAAGACAGGCGCTACGCTCTTTGTCACAGCGCGTGATCCCTATAAAGCCAAAGCCGCCCTCGGCGGTCTCCTAGAGTCCGACAAAATCCACCTCCTAGCACTTAACCTCAACTCCTTCGCCAGCGTTCGAGCCTACGCCAAGGAGTTCCTCTTCAAGAGCAACCGGACACTCAATATCCTCATCACAAATACCGGCGTGATAGCGACACCGGAAGGCAAAACCGTCGACGGCTTCGAGACCCAATTCGGCGTAAATCACCTCGCCCACTTCCTCCTCCTACAGCTCCTAAAGCCTACCCTCCTAAGCTCCTCGACCCCTACCTCGCCTTCCCGCGTAGTCTTCGTTTCCTCCGCCGCCCACCGTATTTCAACCGTGCATATAGACAACCTCTCCCTCGCGGGCGAATACGAACCTTGGAAAGCCTACGGACAGAGCAAAACCGCCATCATCTGGACGGCTAACGAGGTCCAGCGCCGTTACGGATCGAAGGGCCTCCTCGCTTTCAGTCTGCACCCTGGCGGTATTACCACAGGTCTCCAGCAACACGTCCCTAATAAAGTACAGCAGAGCTGGGGCTCCGATAAGTCCTTTGTGCTGAGGTGGAAGAGTCTCGAGCAGGGCGCTGCTACTACTGTCTAGGCGGCTATTGCGAAGGCCTTAGAGGAGCATAGTAGGAAGTATCTTGATAATTGTCAGCTTGCGGGTCCCCATAATCCTAAGACTGGGCCTATAGGCGCTAGGTATGCGCCTTGGGCTTATGATGAGGTGAATACGGCAAAGCTGTAGGATATTTCAATGAAGATGGTTGGGTTGGATAGGGAGAACTGATTTTCGAGGATAGTGGTGTCGAGGATTTAAAAGAGCTAGGTTAGGGGCAATCTTTGCTTGCACAACTCGGGATTAATTGTTGAGTGTGCCCCCCGATGAAGGAGGGAATAGAGGAGGGAATAGAGGTGTCAGATGTATTGAATCTGCAAGCTGCAGAGGTATTCCATAAGTCTTCGTCCACCCTGGTCCTACCGCCTAGTCTTCCGCTTTCAGTGCAAGCTTAACTAGTCTAAAACTAGTCTTAGATATAACTTTATTTTTGTTTATAATGAAATTCATTTAAATTCTAACATTTGTCCCTATCTATCTCCTTGGAATCATGAATTTGCGCAATTAATATAGGAAGTATTAAAATGATTTGACCGGCAGAATATTATGTCATCACTAGGGTAGACGAAGACGAATGGAACACCACTATATTTACTGTACATACCTAAAATTACAATGTTATCTACATACGAAGCAGTACACGCGCAACTTACAGGGGTACTCCGGAAAAACTCCGAATATAGACTAGCGTGATTGGTGTAGGCGGCCAGGAAAGCCAATCGAAGAGTGTTGGTAGTCGCACTAGTTTCGGGACGTACTGTACCTGTTTTACTAAACTTGGTCATCATTTCCTATATAAAGCCCGAACTGTAGACTCAAATTGCGACGGTACGTACCTTATTTAGTCCATCATAACACTCTACTCACATGCTGCATAGCTCCAGATTACTTCAATAAGCCTAAGAAAGGCGGCAGTTTCATTCTACCTTTTCCAAGCCCCGGAACACAGTATGAACGTCTAACTTCCGCATAGACACATTCAAAAATAAGAAATACAACTAGCAGGTAGAGACTACAGCACAAGGTACACCTGTGTCATAGAAAAGTCAAAGTTATCATCTTTTTATTTGAATCACAGTCAAGAGAAGTCAGTTGCTCACATTTTATACTTGAAACTGCCTCTAAAATCTGGTAAAATGCCCAGAGCACTTGCCTCATGTGCTCATATCGCCGCGGTGTGGCAGTCAGTCATGCAGCTCCTCTATTAGACGTGCCCAGAGTACCCCGCTCTGGTCAATGTTGCTCAAGACTTAGGCATTTTGCCTATGAGCCCCTTGTCAGTAAAATACACCTCATCTAGTCGTCTGTTTTTCCTCTCACATTCTCTGCACAGACCGAGTGAATAGCAGTCCATAACAGGGTTCCCCTCGCCAACTCAACAAATCTTGACGAACTCAGCCACACGCACGCTGCCATCGACGAACGATATTGCGCGATCGGCCTTGAAAAACAAATACGAGTTCATCCACACCCAACATAGTAAATAGTGCATGCATGAGTATACCAGACGAATGGACACGCGCTAGTGCACGAGTTATCACGGCGTTAAGGAGATTGCTTCTATGTCACATTAAACCACGTCAGCATATGTGAAAATGGACAGAGCCGCATTTTGAGCCTAGCTCGTGGCACAGGAGCCATTTTCCTTCCTCAAGAGAATAAATACAGCGTAGATTCCTATGTTTCTTCTCTCAGTGCCCTTCAAACCCATCTCTTTTTGGTGACTTATACTATTTCATTAAACCCCTACGACGAAGCTTCTACGCAAAATGGCGGCTCAAGTTGCGAAATATTCTTTTCTTCCTGAACTTCATATAGCTCTAGAGACCCGGGATTTCCACGCAAGTAGTACACTGTATGAATTATATCTTATCTTTTAGTAGCTCCCTTCCTATTTCTAAAAGATCCAGTAGCTAACGCCTACAGGTACAACACGCTCGTTGATAACTCCGACCAGCCCCCCGTTTCTAAAGAAAATATTATAGACCTGGCGGAAATGTTCGTCCGTCATAATGCCGATAAGGTTCTTAGGATTCACTTGATCCACGGCCACTTCAAGATTCCTAAGAATACCGTCATGCTTAGGTCCAACTTCGAAAGCCCTTCCCTTCGCTGGACTAAAGTCACCGATATTGACAAGATCGAACCCTCACGTGTCTATAGACATATATTCGCCCTAACTAAGGACGGGCTGTGCGCTTATGAGCTACAGGATGGGCCTCTTCCTGACCTGTCTAGTGTTGGTCTAGGTTTTCTTGACGAGTTCATTAACTACATTGTCAAGAAGAATCTTACAGGTCTCATTAGTCTCTAAGTTCTTGGGTGCAGTGATGGCTCTATATCGGAACTCATTCTCGACCAAGGAACTATCATGCTAGAATCGACCTTTGTCAAGAATACTGTACCGACCCGTATTACTAGCTAGAAATTCGAGGGCGGCGGTAGTAGGCCGTGTGTTTGCTCTGCAAATGAAACTTATACGGTTATGACATCAGGCAATCACAAAGTCTTTAATGCAGGGAAGCCTCTTCCTAAATTAGAAAATGTCGACGACCTGAAGGCCGCTCTTGCTGTGGTTAGGGTTATTTGATTTTTTCTAGTATTGCCCCTTTCGTCGGTTATTCAACCTCCCCTCCCAATTTTTTTCTATCGTATTTCAGTGCCTATCGTCTATGCTAAATCCGTAAACCTTGTAGCTGGATTTATTAACAGCCTATCTAGATCACGCATATTATATGCTCCACTTTTATCATCCCGAATAGGTACTAGCTCCGGTATATTCGCGAGACGACTTGTGAAGCCACGAGATAGCAGTAATCCTACAATTCTTGCTGCTTTGATGGCTCTGATTGTGTCATTGCCCAACCCTCCAGCTTCAACTCTGAATGTGCTCTAGAATATATCCTCCAAAATGACGTAATCATTATACCGGACCTAGCCTTTCTTGAGATGGACCTTACTTATCAGTCGCTGGTGAGAAAAGAGATTCAAGCCAAATAGTGCAATCTCTGCTTCGGCCCAATCCACAACTCCAACAAGATTGCAAGACATTTCGTTCACAATAATATTGCAGACACCAAAGTCTTTGTGAACTAGCACTATAGGAAGAGAAAAAATGGTGGGCAATGAGTTGAGAGACTCCTGGATTAATGGGTGGAAGCGATCTGGGAGAGAAGCAAGCAACAAATTCAGCTCATTTTTATATCGACTGTACAAGTCGTCGCGGTACATTTGACCAACATCTTGAGGACGTTTCCACGAAAGGGCAAAGAATCTAATATAGCGTCTAATTAGCAATTCGGTGTATTTATAACGAGAACGCTAAGCATACTTCGCAATGTCAATTACAAGATTCTTGCGCTATAAAGAAAACTCGGGCGAGTTTTCGGGCACTTGACTGTTATGTGCCAGGATAAAATCCAAGTAACTAATGCCTCGGAGTCAACTCATGATGTAGATAGAAAGGGCTTCTTTGCTCTCTGTAGCTTCTCCAATATGTCCCATAAAAGTCACTTGAGGTGCAAAGTGGCTGTAGATGCTCCGAGCAAGTTTCGCAATCTCCATACTTAGTTGGAGGGACGCAAGGCGAAATTGTACGACGAATTCGGCATTATTCCCCGCATAGACGGTATAGCTGCACACACCCTGAACGGCCACTAGAACGATGTTTCCACCAACATGCTCCCTCGCAAAGGTGTCACAGGCTAAGCGAGTGGCTGTCGTCTTGTCGAAGAAATCTGCAATTTCTTGGTTAACAGAGTATACGAGGTCACTGGTAGCTATAGCAGCAGGCACAGGTTGCTTTGTTCAATATGATGAATTATGAAGCAAGAGGTTGTAGCTAAGGTGAGGCAAGGAGGAAAGGAATATGTATTATATACCCCCTTATAAGAAGGGAGTCCCTCAGGTGACAGAACCTCAACACTTCGACGCCTAACGCTTCTGCTAGCGTCCACCGCCATTCCGGAAAAACAATTTTCCTAAAACTCCTATTCTCAGTAACCAATTGCGTATCCTTTCCAGAAGGCCGAGCCTTAGCTATCTAGTAGTACTTGTCCAGTATTAGCTTGAGAGACCCAAAACGTAGCGGTTAAAACCAAGGTCGAATCTGACTGTGATCGCAACTAGCTAGACAAATGCGTGGCGGCTAGCTTATCACTTGCATTTGTCCCCGAGAACCCCGAGGTTTCAGTTTCGTCGCCCTTATTCTCTACCTCATTATTCTCGTCCTTGCGGGTATTATGGCTGGCGATAATAGCACGAGTGAAACAGACATAGGGCTAGCATAATTGTTCCGGGGATTTTATCTCTTTTGCCAGTCCTGTGACCAGGAGGACTTGATCAGACCTAGCATATAATTACTCCCAATCGAACATGCCCTATTGTGATACAGTCCACAGCTTTACAATATTCATTAGTGTCTCCACTGGTGTTTCCATTGGCATTTCCTGATCTAGAATTTTACGTTGACTGCGACCTTGGAACTTTATAGCGGGAATTTTTGGAGCTGATGACGAAATGCTCAGATTTTCTACGTCGTTTCGGTCATGAAAGCAGTCGTTTCTTGAGCGTTGTGCTCCAGTACACCTGAATGGAGCCTTTGCTCCTTCCGGGGAACCTCCGACTGAATCGTTTGATCACTTCCGACCAGGTAAGAGCGTCTTCCTTCCTAAGCTTCACCAGAAGGCAATCCTCTTCCGGAGAGAAAGGTAGTCCTTTTCTCGAGGAGCCGGGATGCTCTATATCGACCACGTTAGCACCTGCGAATGACTATGCAGGTGGTAGAGTCGAGGATTCTTCCTCTCCTGATATAGACCCTAATGCCGATGCGCCATCCGCGCGGGATGAAGTATGGAGGCATTGGGACAAAGCACCCTCAAACAGCCAGGACAAGAACTGCAGTCGCTCTTCGACCGGTCAAGAAGAGAATTGACCCCGAAGAATAGAAAATGACATTTTAACGGGGCAAAGCCTTAATAGAACAGTACCGAGGCACGCTGTTAAGAAGCTAGCAGTATTCCCTCCTAGACTGGATACCGTGTACGCTTAAGCGATCGATTGCGTCTGCAAGTCGGAAGATCCCGGAATCTGCAAGCAGATACTAGTCACCATATCAACGGGATACCGACCTATCCCGATTAGCGAACTAATCACACTTATCGAAGTGCCGGATAACGGCGGTATTGGGAGTTATATAAAGATAACTAGATCAAGGAATCGATAATTTCTGGAAAACGCAGATGCGCATTTCCGGTACACCGGCCTAACAGTAGCGGAGATCTTGCTTAGATACCCTTCAGCGACGTTCGAAACTGATCTTAGTATTAATCCGAAGCGGGTATTATTGCATTTCTGGATGTTCTTGCCTGTGGTGAAACATGATCGGGAGTCAAAAGTAGGAAGGTGTGACGATCGAGAAGCTAAGGCGGTCATGGCAACTGGCGAGCGTAGACGTTGGCTGTTTGCTTTGGATGCCTCATACGCTTCCGAACGGGGAAGTTTGCGGGGCAGGCGCCTGAGGTAGGAGGGATATAAAAAGGGCCTATCTCTCATTCCTTATCTTCTCTTTCTCTCCTTTCCCCATACTTGATACCTTCGTTAGATGCACCGAATGTAACCTTCTGCTTAACTTTGCCTGGCTCGTAACAGAAGGTTGCACTTTAATAACATCAGAAAGGTTTGATTAAGCAGACACCTGTTGTAAGAGATGACTAGTTGTTAGGGTAGTCAGCCTGTCAGTCAGGTAAGGAACAAGGCAACAGTACAATTGTGGCAAGACTGTTTCTTGAGGATCCCTCAAGAACATGAGACGAGAAGCTCAATTTAAGTACACGGTTCTATGTGGCTTCCTATAACCTCCGTAACCCTAGAATAACCGAGAAGTATGCATAGAGTGTGCAGCACGAGGAGGGTCTGATCTCACTGTCCAGTCGCCTGAGTCTCACCGCCGATTACTCGGCAGGGAGGTACAGCTCCGCCATCGTATATATGTCTCCTAGGAATAGCTTCATGAGAGGAAAGTCCGTAACACCTGTCTCCGTTGTTAGAAATTTATATGAATTGATGATATCTGTGCAACATTGAACGCACTGCTTTAATCATTGAAGACTGCCCCTAGCTGATCAATATCTTCTCCTGCCCTTCCATAGAACCTATATAGCTTTCTACCATAAGCAGGTTGAATGCATTGGTCACCGCCGATTCCTCTAGCCTCGAAGTAGTCCCTATCTTCATAAGTCACCAAATCATAAGTCCCGATTCTGAGTGAATGCGCACGCCCGGTTGATCCGTGTATATACATCCAGTAAATAGGTTAATTGCCGGAATTGAAGTCAAAATTGGTGTGCAGTATGCTCTGCTCTTCTTTTAGCGGGCAAGATCCAGCCTGGCCAAGTTCGACGTGGCCCTGTTCATCCTTGGCCCATCTTACTTTGATTCCCTTTAGGACGATATCCTTCTCGAAATCACCACTGCCTCTGCCGTACCATACGTCCAGTTGTTCCACAGGCTTATTATCACGCCAAAGGTTGAACTTCTCGCCACCATTACCACTAACTATAGGGCCCATCTGAACCATAACGTGGAAGAATGGTTTTCTCGGTATTATAATAGTAGAGTTTCAGGTTTGATTAATTCAAGAAAGTAAAAGCAGTATTCTAAAGGGGATAGGATAACCAACCATATTTATACCTCTGACCTTTGCCTCCCTAACGGGAGCAAATTGGTACTTCATACATCTCCGTACTCTCTATAAGCAGACGTATATTATGCAGTTCCGTCATCATTTCTATATTAGGTCTCATAACCTATCACGTGTCTTGAACGAAGACGCATTCGGTTATGTTACATCACAAATCACAACTATCAACATACTACTATAGATACGTGAAAAGTATTGTTGTAGGTTGTAGATGATATTATCATATACTGTGTAAATAGTAACGCGCGGGTTACCCGTCGTGGCTACCTAAGACCATCATATAAGGGTTCTGGGATGAGGCGTGTAACCCCACCGATTGATTGCGCTTGGCCGCGAAACCCTAAAGCGTTAACGATTCGTACTGGATACGGACTAGAATAGTCACAATTTTAACTGTATCTAGATACATATTAATTGAATTGTTGATAATTTGGGATAGTAATGACAATGCCCAGAAGCATGAGTGAGGTGAAAACGCAACCACTTGGTGTCGGATTATGTGACGTCTATGACGTCATACGTGTTTTCTTTTGGATCAAGGGGGGAACCTTATTCTCTAGAAAACTATGAGATAAAATAACCTGACAGCGAAGGCAAATCTGGCCGCGTGATGGTTTATCTCTGCTGTAGCAGGCGATAGATGGCATTGAATCAACACAATCACCCTGCGATAAGGTTCAATGTATGGGCTAGAATTGTCGAAATAGAGTCTTAACTACCTATTTAGTTCCAGCCACAAGTGAAGGCTTTTAATTCCAAATGTACAATTATGAATATCAATCGGCCCCTCATAATTAGGCTCCTGATGGGCCGAAATATGAACCGCCGTTTGAGATCATGTAGGCTTAGCACAGCTTAGCAGAAATATAACCCATGCTTGGAATAGATCTCTTGATTGCTAAAATTTAATTGCTAAAATTATACATCTTAGATCATAAAAGCTTGCATTGACTAGGGTTCTGTGTTCGCATCCTTTCCCTTAGCCACTATCTTCATTTTTGTGAGTGATTGTTGAGCGAAGGACGAAAGCGAGGAGCAATAGCGGGAAGGCGACCAACCACTCGTAGCTTGTGCCGCCAGTTTACAGAGGTTGTTCTAGACATAACATGGTCTAGACCATACAACTCTGATACGTTAGCTATTATAACGTCACTATATATTACCGTATAGGGATACTGCCAAGAATATGGATCGGGAGTAGAGTAACCGTGAAGGGTATAGCGTGATTAAGACAGAGTTTGAGAAAGAATATAAGAGAGTAGACAGGTGAAACTGATTTCGAGCGCGTCTGTAACTTACTGGCGAGAAACAGCCACCTCGGTATCGGAAATTGAAACTGAAGACCTTTTCCGTGACATTGGGTGCAAGATCAGAGCAAAATCCGTTCTCCGCGGAGCTAGCAGCAATGGCACATACATTGAACATGCTAGTAGGACTGAAAGATTACAGGATCAGGTTGCTCACGAGCAACAAAGCGGCGGCTCTCACGATAAGGAACCCTCGACAACAGTCAGGCCAGGAATTCGTCTGCCAGATGTACAAGTTGTTAAGGAGACTGCGGAGAAACGGAAACCACATCAATATTCTTTAGGTCCCTACCGGCGAAGACAATAAACTGCTAGGTCTGGCCAAGGAGCAGGCCAGGACTACGACCCAGAAGGATGCCGTTCCGCAAGAATCGGTCCCCAGGATGAAATCGACAACACTGAATATCGCTCGTTCCCAAGCAGTTGCTAGCAATAACTTGCCAGAGAACGTAGGAAGACACGTGAAACGAGTAGATGCAGCACTGCCAGGAAAACACACTCGACAGCTGTATGATCGATTATCGTGGAAAGAAGCGAGCGTGCTGGCCCAACTCCAGACTGGCATGGCCAGGCTGAATGGCTATCTCTATCGGATCAATGTTGCAGAGACAGACCAGTGTGCATGTGGACAAGCAAGAGAGACCGTGGAACACTTCCTGTTTCGATGTCGGAAGTGGACCGCACACCGGACTGAAATGCTGCAATGCACCTATACTCACCGAGGCAACATATCCTTTTTCCTGGGCGGAAAGTCGCCTTTGGATGACCAGAATTGGACGCCGAACTTGGAAGCCGTGCGAGCCTCTATACGATTCGCAATAGCAACGGACCGACTCGACGCCGCCTAACAACGTCGACCAACACAATGACACCCTTCCCCTAACTAACCTACAACCGCCTTGTGCCAAAGATGGTGGACGCGCTTCAACTGCCGAGGATAGGACGTTGAACACTTGAAGAAGCGTCTTCAAGCTAGTCTACTGACAAAATTACTAACCCACAAGGATTCCAACGATATCGACAGCTGAGAGGACATATACTAAAGGGATTTATGTATAGGCCCGAAGGAGACACGGCATATGTATATTATATTAGGACCTGTATTAATAGACCAGTGATGGTTGCCCTTTCGGTTTAGCCGCCGGGCGTTAATGAATTGTGTGTGTGTGTGTAACTTACTGGAGCGGACGGAGAAGTCATTCGTGCCAGGAGCGACTTGTTTTCTGAAAGCGAGGGCGGCAACACCTGTACTTATAGTCGAACGCTGCATAGCTGCTAAAACAGGGCGGCTAGGACAGTCTATGAATCAATCAATCAATCAATCAATCAAGCTGACCAGCAACCCTAGGGCTTTTCAACCCTCCTAGGAGTAAAGCTCGCACATCCCGAGACCACAAAGTTGATTTTTCGAATACACATTCTTTTGCCTCGTTATGACCTTCTTTTGATATCTCCTGTTGTATCCTCGGTGCTGAGCACTACAGAAGTGTGCGATTCTTCCGCTATTTCGATCCGTCTGCTTGTCAGACTGCCATCGAGCGCTTCCCTCTTCAACAGTTATCCTTCGAGTCCGCCTCGACATCTTGTCGGTCCAGCAGCAGCCTGACCACTGCTTCATGTCCACCTTCAGCCGCACAGGATAACGGTGTCCGACCCCAGTTAGCCTTTGAGTCTGCCTCGACATCTTGTCGGTCCAGCAGTATCCTAACCACCCCTTCATGTCCGCGCCAGGCCGCATATAACAACGGTGTCTGACCCAAGTTATCCTTCGAGTCCGCCTCGACATCTTGTCGGTCCAGCAGCAGCCTGACCACTGCTTCATGTCCACCTTCAGCCGCACAGGATAACGGTGTCCGACCCCAGTTATCCTTCGAGTCCGCCTCTACATCTTGTCGGTCCAGCAGTAGCCTGACCACCCCTTCATGTCCACCTCCAGCCGCAAAGGACAACGGTGTCTGACCCCAGTTAGCCTTTGAGTCTGCCTCGACATCTTGTCGGTCTAGCAGTATCCTAACCACCCCTTCATGTCCGCGCCAGGCCGCATATAACAACGGTGTCCGACCCAAGTTATCCTTCGAGTCCGCCTCCATATCTTGTCGGTCCAGCAGTAGCCTGACCACCCCTTTATGTCCACCTCCAGCCGCACAGGATATCGGTGTCAACCTATCGTTATCCTTCGAGTCCGCCTCAACATCTTGTCGGTCTAGCAATAGCCTGACCGACGCTTCATATCTACCTCGAGCCGCATAGGATAACGGAGTCAACCCATCGTTATCCTTCCAGTCCGCCTCGACATCTTGTCGGTCTAGCAGTAGTCTGACCACTGCTTCATATCCACCTCCTCCACCTCCAGCTACATAGGATAACGGTGTTCGACCCAAGTTATCCTTCGGGTTTAGCCTGATACTGGCGTTTGCGAGCAGTAGCTTCATCAATTCGCCCTCCCCCTCCCTCGCGAGTAGATATAGGATCGTCCTCCCTCCTTCGTCCTGAAGCGTAGTATACTAAAAAGTTAGGACCCGTGCGAGCCCAGGAGCCGTCTATAAGAGAGACAGCAGGTTAACAGGTAAGAGATATTCAGCGGAAAGCAGGGTAAGTTCGATAGGGAGATAGGCTCCTACCCTAGACACTCTCATTATGTCGCTTTCGCGGAGATACGGAAACAGTAGATATAATTCATACGCCCAACTAGGAAGTCGAACGACGCAAAAGATTCAACGAGGAACAATGTTCAAGGACGAATAAGGTTTCAGTTTCCCCACCTTGTCGAATTGCTCCTGAATACGGAGTACTATACTATGTACCTGAACTGTTTTGTACGGTAAACAGGGCTAATTTGGAATACCCAGTATCGTAACGTGTCAGTACTAGCCCCTTGTATGTACTGTAGTGTATACGTGCGAAACCAGGGTGGGTAGGCATAGCACGGTGACTGGATAGCTTTCTCAGGCACCTTGTGAAAAAATCAACTGCTCGCCACTTGCGGCTCACGAAGAGGCTGTTTTCCATGGTCTATCCCCACCGGATCAGGAAGGACACTCTTGTATAGTACCGTGTGTGTACTATAAGATGGCTGTATTGTGTGCGTTACTGTATGTCTCATACCTAGCCCGATGATTGGTACAGAGCGGCTCCTCTCTTCCAGACCATCGGCAAGTGGAGCCCAATGGTTCAGAGGACCACTAAAAACGCTTTCGCCGTGATCGACGCTCCTGAACGCTGAACACGAGTCGAACGTGGTTCGCGCTCGTCTAAGATTTCTTTGTTTGGATTGTTTTACACGAGTAAAGTCGATAGCGTGACTGATAATTTGTCATACGGAGTGGGACACCGCCAGCATTCGGCAGCCACCTAGATCATACCCCTACATCCGTCCCCGAAGAACTCCTGTGGAATCACCCTATATCGTCAGGAACCCGTCCCTATAAGTTGCGCTTGCCCTAACTCCGCTTCGGCGTTCGACCGTCCCGAACTCCCTTGTTTTGGGAGATAGCTCCCGCGAGCGCCTCGAGGTATCAGGAAGACATTTCACCCTAGATTCGTATCTTGCCGGGACGACCGGATAGACGGCGCGGGGACTCGGAGTTTCGGGTTCTGTATATCATCACTACCCTAGATAATCGACTAACAAGGTGCGAGGGCATAATAGCTAGTGCGGACGAGACTCTCGTGGTAGCGACGGCGGTGCTGTAGTCTCTCGCTAGAGACGAGACCACTAGGGGCTCTGTCTCCCCCCTTTTAATCTCGAATTTCCCGCGACTAACGGTGCTAAATCATCCAAACTTCCTAGGGAACCCAGCCTAGCAAAGGTTACCTTCGAAGCCGAGTTGGAGGCCTTAATGCGCCGCGTGCACCACCTAGAATTCCAAGCTGTCAGTCTTCACAAACTCCCCGATAACCCCTAGTAGACCACCCTGTCTGCTATCGGAGCTAACGAGAAGGACCCTGATTTTTTTGTGGACCGTCGGGCTTGATCTCTTCCGGTTAAGGTTCTGACTCTTCTTATTACCTTATATAGCAGCAAATACTAAATCAACCTGTCCGGTAACAGCGGACCCTGTCGGGCCCTGAAGAAAATTTCCCTTATCTACCCTAACTATCCGCCCCGGTTAGAGACCTTAACGAAGACGAAACCGACGAGGAGGATAAGACCGGCGCAACACATGCGGTGCGCGAAGAAGACATCAGCATCCTCCGCAATCATATACAAAAGCAAGCCGAGGAGATTAGCTTCTAGAAGGATATTATAGCGTAGGTGTTACGCGTAGCCGACTGGTCACTGTGAGTAGAGCTTCAAAGGGTTATACGTGCCTAGTTCCACTGCGGATTCCAAGAGTATCTCTCAATCGTACCGTTGCTTCGCAAAGCCTTACTGCGGAATAGATCCTGTCGAGTATCTTGCAGAACGTGCCAGAAGTGCGCGCCAAGTAAGTCAGTCACTAAGTATTGCTACTGAGTGAGCTCCCCTACTTGTAGGTTGGGTTGTCTTGAAGGTGAACTGTGAAGTGCAAAGTACTAAAGGTAGTAACCAAGTAACAATGTGTAATTGATCGCGAAGAACTAAATACATGATGCTGAATGAGTGTCCTTATATATCCAGTCCTTCGTATAGGTGTAGATGCTGTAGTAGATAGGTCGTAGATCTATAGTAGATGATCTACCCGTCCTTTAGTGCCAAGACCCACCCAGTATCTACCGTTCGGGGATCACGTGTTGATTGTGCGTGCGGCTGTTCCTGGCGTCCTTCTAACCGTCCGAGCGTATAAGCGGGTATACGATGTCATGGTTAGGCACAGGCCGTTTGTGGCTCCCTGCCTGAATGTTTTACCCGTGGCCCTTGAGGGGACGCCTGGGTGTTAGGAGTTGCACGTGATGACGCTAATGCAATGCGTCCAGGGGTTGATTGGATCTCGGTTGCCCCTCAACTAGCTGCGGCCTCCCCGCGCCTCGAGGTTCGTAACAGTAGGTTCGCGACGAGTTGCAGAAGTAGGAGGAGTATACCCGCCGTACGCTTACTAAGGTCGAAAACGAGGATATCGTTCTGCTCGAACGGGAGCTCTAGAAGCACTAGCAGGCTAACGAGGCCTTCTAAAAAGCCTTACGAGAAATCGGCGGCATTATTACGTAAGTCGCTAACGGTGATCTCTCTATGAAGGTCTAGATCTACCCCTTGGAGATAGACCCGGAAATTATTACGTTTAAACGTACGATTAATACTATGATGGACTAACTGCAAGTCTTTGGTAGCGAAGTGTCTTGAGTCGCTCGCGAGGTCGGAACGGAGGGTATACTCGGTAGTCAAGCTTAATTACTAGTGTTAATAGTATCTGGAAGGAGCTCACGGAGAACGTTAATATCATAGCTAAGAACCTAACGGATCAGGTGCGAGAAATTACGGTTATTATAACTACCGTCGCCTACGGTGATCTGAGTTAGAAGATCGAAAGTCGCGCCTAGGGTGAAATTTTGGAACTATAATAGACGATTAATACTATAGTGGATTAACTCGGGATATTCGCTACGGAAGTCACACGAGTCGCGCGAGATATCGGTACGGAAGGTATACTAGGAGGTTAAGCTCAAATTGAAGGTATCTAGGGTATATAGAATAAACTTACGGTCAATGTTAATACTATAGCTAATAATCTAACCACGCAAGTACGTGATCTCGCTACTATCACTAAAGCCGTCGCTAAGGGTGACCTAACGTAGAAGGTATAAGCTAACTGCCGAGGAGAAATTGCCGAGCTTAAGAATATCATCAATTCTATAGTGGACTAACTACGCTAGTTCGCGTAGGAAGTTACTAAGATCGCCAAGGAGGTCGGTACCGATAGTGTACTAGGTAGCTAGGCTACCGTGAATGATATTAAAGACACATAGAAAGACCTTATAGAGAACGTTAACCGTATAGCTAACAACCTAACTACTTAGGTACGTGAGATTATAGACGTTACTACGGCTATCGCTAAGGGCGATTTAACTATAAAGATTACTACTAACGTGTAGGGCAAGATACTTAATCTAAAGAGTACTATTAACGGTATAGTAGACTGTCTCAACACGTTTGCTTTCGAGGTTAGTAAGGTCGCGCGTAAGGTCGGTACCAATAGTACCCTAGGAGGTCAAGCTAAGATAGATAATATCGAAGGAAAATAGAAGGATCTCACCGATAACGTTAACACTATAGCGCAAAATTTAACGTCGCAAGTGCGAAGTATCTCGGACGTAACGTAAGCTATTGCTAAGGATAATCTTAGCAAGAAGATCGAGGTATATACGTAAGGAGAGATACTAACCCTTAAAGTAACTATTAATTATGGGGGCGACTGTTGGCACCACCTGGGAATTCTGCTCGCACCACCTAGGGCCTGATTTCTGCCTGATTTCTGCCAAGCCCGTCACGCCGATTAATTACGAATTCAACCACCCCCTTCCTTCTTATATACACGTATCCCTTCCTTCTTCTCTTCTATCTTCTCTTCTATCTTCTACTACTTCTTGCCTACCCTATTAGAATCACATAACCCACATACTAATCTAATTCAATTTAGTTCCTGTTGGATTTTAGGTAGTGATCATAAAATCCGATTGCACACAAAAGGATATATGTGTCATAAGCAGGTGAAGAAAGACTATCATAAGAGAAATAGAGGTCGGCTAATTAGACCAAAAGAAGAGTATAATCAGGTATGCCAAAGAAATCTACTCATGAATCAAAAGAGATGTCAAACTTGTTCAATTTAGCTAGGAAAGCAAACAGAATTTATAACACGAGGTACATAGTAAATATCACATGAAGAAATCAAGAATATCCGAGGTTATCTTGGAGTGTTGAGTAGTCTCCGGCCAATATAGGCAGTTCAATGCGAGATCGTTGAGGATCAATATAAATCAATATAGTGGTTATAAAGGTGATCTTCCGGGGAAAAGATAGTGGCGGCTTAGTCATCTGCGGGAAGACCCTACATAAGTTGATATACCCCCTCAGCTCTCGATATGAGACGAAAGCAAGAGCAAATTGAGAGCTGAATGAGACAAAAGGTAAGATCTAGGATAAGGGAGATACTTCTATGCCTAGTTGTCTAACGAATTTATAGTGTTTTTCGCTTGGTAATCGTTTTGTGAGACCATCTGCTAGCATTTCAGTCGTCTTGACCTATTTAACTGTTAACCGCTTAGCCTGAACTTCTTGCCGAATCCAAAGCTAATAAATATCTATATAGCGTAGTTTAGTCTGAAATACTGATTTCTCGCGATTTAGTAGGTCGACAGTTTACTTATTATCGCAATCTAGCGAATCAAACTACTTAGTATCGAATTAGATAAATGAAAATAGCTGCTTTATCTAATATAGCTGCCTAGTAGTATGACTAATTGCAAGCAGTTCGGCTTCTATCGTTAACATAGTGATCGTCTTCTACTTACGAGA